AGTGTGCCTTGAATTCTAAAATCTAAATAAATCACTGACAGTGTCACCAGCAAAGCACCCCCACACCATCACACCTCCTCCTCCATGCTTCATGGTGGGAACCAAACATGCGGAGATCATCCGTTCACCTACTCTGCGTCTCACAAAGGCACAGCGGTTGAAACCAAAGGACAGATTTTCACCGGTCTAATGTCCATTGCTTGTGTTTCTTGGCCCAAGTAAGTCTCTTCTTCTTATTGGTCTCCTTTAGTAGTGGTTTCTTTGCAGCAATTTCACCATGAAGGCCTGATTCACACAGTCTCCGCTGAACAGTTGATGTTGAGATGTGTCTGTTACTTGAACTCTGTGAAGCATTTATTTGGGCTGCAATTTCTGAGGCTGGTAACTCTAATGAACTTACCCTCTGCAGCAGAGGTAACTCTGGGTCTTCCTTTCCTGTGGCGGTCCTCATGAGAGCCAGTTTCATCATAGTGCTTGATGGTTTTTTTGCGACTGACCTTCATGTCTTAAAGTAATGATGGAATGTCGTTTCTCTTTGCTTATTTGAGCTGTTCTTGCCATAATATGGACTTGGTCTTTTACCAAATAGGGCTATCTTCTGTATACCAACCCTACCTTGTCACAACACAACTGATTGGCTCAAACGCATTAAGAAGGAAATTAATTCCACAAATTAACTTTTAACAAGGCACACCTGTTAATTGAAATGCATTCCAGGTGACTACCTCATGAAGCTGGTTGAGAGAATGCCAAGAGTGTGCGAAGCTGTCATCAAGGCAAAGAGTGGCTACTTTGAAGAATCTCAAATATAACATATATTTTGATTTGTTTAACACTTTGTTGGTTACTACATGATTCCGTATGTGTTATTTCATAGTTTTGATATCTTCACTATTATTCTACAATGTAGAAAACAGTAAAAATAAAGAAAAACCCTGGAATGAGTAAGTGTGTCCAAACTTTTGACTGGTATTGTAACAAACGCATATAAGTGTTGGTTCCATGTTTCATGGGCTGAAATAAAAGATCCCCAAAATTGTCCATATGCACAAAAAGCTTATTTCTCTCAAATTTGGTGCACAAATTGTTTCCATCCCTGTTAGTGAGCAGTTCTCATTTGCCAAGATAATCCATCCATCTGACAGTTGTGGCATATCAAGAAGCTGATTAAAAAGCATGATCATTACATAGGTGCACCTGTCCACCAGAGCTGTTGCAAGAGAATTGAATGTTCATTTCTCTACCTTAAGCCACCTCGAACGTCATTTTAGAGAATTTGGCAGTATGTCCAACCGGCCTCACAACTGCAGACCACGTGTAACCACGCCAGCCCAGGACCTCCACATCTGGCTTCTTCACCTGCGGGATCATCTGAGACCAGCCACCTGGACAGCTGATGAAACTGAGGAGTATTTCTGTCTGTAATAAAGCCCTTTTGTGGGGGAAAACATATTCTGATTGGCTGGGCCTGGCTCCCAAGTGGGTGGGCCTATGCCCTCCAAGGCCCAACCATGGCTGCGCCCCTGCCCAGTCATGTGAAGTCCATAGATTAGGGCCTAAGTAATGTATTTCAATTGACATATTTCCTTACATGAACTGTAACTCAGTAAAATTGTTGAAATTGTTGCATTTATATTTTTGTTCAGCATTGTTATGATGAGTTTCTCTGGTATCGAGAACTTCAGGTTGCAAGAATATACTTAAACAATTATATGGGGAGTTAATACAAAGTATTTAATAGATACGGTACCGGGTTCGTCTAACAAAAGGCGCGTGCTTTGCCTCTTGTCATCCCCACACTGGACAAAGGAAATCTCTCAGTTTATATACTTCATTTTACACGTTTCTTCAACAACGTCTGTTAACCATCAGTGGGCACTCCCCTCTCTGATGTTATTAACTTGTACCCCAAGTCAGTATATTATTATCAATCATTCTAAGATAAACCCCAGTAAGCTCCCTTGACATACTGGAATCCTTGGTATTCAGACTCTGCGGCACCAAGAATTACCTATCTAATAGATTTCACCTTGTTCCCACAACACTATGAAGAGACATCATAACAAGCATATATCCAAATAGAACGACTGTACACTTTCATCCACTGATCTTCCAAAATGGGATTAATGTTTACCACACAGAAAGTTTGAAGTCATCACAAAGGCAAAGCAGCCAGGTGTCAGGCTAACCATCTGGTGATAGAGGGGGTAAGAGATGGGTACATGTAGTCAGGGGTTAAAGTGGGGGAACCCTAACACTAGTTTCATGTCCACACCCCAGCTTAACCCTAACCCTAGCTTCATGTCCACACCCCGGCTTAACCCTAACCCTAGTGTTACGGATATAGGTATCCTGTATATGTATTTGTTTTTCTTCTCCTTCAGCCCTAATCACAGGTGTCCCTTGTTTTCCTGATTGGTGGTCGTTGGGGTGTCCCACCTGTCCGACATCCGTTCGTCTGCTGATTGCTGAGGTGGACCAATCAGTGGACACTCCTCTGTATTGCACCACCTGTTTCTGTTTTTTCATTACCATATCAAATCCCCTTGTTTTAAAAGCTAGTTGTGTTTTCTGACAGAGACTCTTTTTCTTTGTGAGTATGGATACTGGGGTGTCTTGTTTTTGTGTACTCACTCGTTTGCTGTCTAGTCCATATTGGACCTATGTTGTTTGTTTGTGCCTGGGAAAAGGGGGGTTTAGCAAGTCGCCATTGGGCATACACTACCCGTAGGAAAACCTTGTCTAAACACACTAGTTAGACCTGAGCGGACCACCCACTGTATTTTTGTATGGTTAGCAGTAAGCTTAGCGGTTCTTGAGGCAGGCAAGATCAGTTTAGGGTTTTTTGACTGTATTGTTTCATTCCTTGCGTCCAGCTCAGCCCCTTTTCCCCAAACCGTTTACCGTGTGTTTATAATAAACATTTTGTGTTTGACGGTAGCATATGGTTGTCGGTGTATTTTGTTCTCACTGTTCCTGGTCAATATTCTAATTCGCATGAGTTATGTTACGGGTCTCTTTTCCATCCACCCTAGACTTTTAAAGCCACGGGTTCGTAACATAACGTGGGGGCTCGTCCGGGATCTCTCATTGATACCCATGCCACTCATGCAAATTGGTTTAGTGTCTGGTTCAGTGTTGAGCTTGGCAGCTGTGACTAGCTGGTTTCGTTCAGTATTCGTCGGCTCGTGTTGCTAGCTTACGATGGCTACTTTTGATTTGGATGCCTTTTTGGAAAACCCTACGTGGGAGGTTTTTGATAATTGCCGTAGACTGGATCTACAGGCTTTGGCTGACCACTTTTCTATACCCATTCCAAGGGTTTTAGTGAAAGCAGAAGTTAGGAAAGTGGTGTTAGAGATATTATTGAACAAGCGAGAGCTTGAGTTACCGCCGCCTGAGCCTGCAGCTCCTGTAGAGGATGTGGCTGCTGCTCCTGTAAGCCTGTCGGTGTCTGAGGACGAGGGCGAGGCTCCAGCCACATTGCCCCGTTTTGACCCACTCTCCCCACTGTCCGACAGTGATGCCAGGGTGGATGTCCGCTCGACACGGCTCCAAATGGAGACGGAAGAGAGGGCACAAATCAGGCGAGAAAAGTTGGAGATGCGTAGACTTGATCAAGAACTGGAGACACGTAGACTTGATCAAGAACTGGAGATGCGTAAAATGGAACTGGAGGCAGAGACAGCGAGGTTAGTCTCTGCTCATGCTATGCCTGCTAGTGAGCCGTCCTCACCAGCTGTGTCGTCTGCTACTTTTGATATTAGTAGACAGATCACCTTAGTACCTGTGTTTAGGGAGTCAGAGGTTGACTCCTATTTTAGTGTTTTCGAGCGTATAGCAGTAGCATTGTAATGGCCCAAAGAGGTATGGTGCCTATTACTTCAGTGTAAATTAACAGGTAAAGCCCAAGAGGTTCTGTCAGCGCTACCTCTTGAAGACAGCTTGAATTATGATGTGGTCAAAGCTACTGTTCTTCGTGCCTATGAGCTTGTTCCTGAGGCATATCGACAGAGATTTAGGTCTCATAAAAAGTGTTTATAATAAACATTTTGTGTTTGACGGTAGCATATGGTTGTCGGTGTATTTTGTTCTCACTGTTCCTGGTCAATATTCTAATTCGCATGAGTTATGTTATGGGTCTTTTTTCCATCCACCCTAGACTTTTAAAGCCACGGGGTTCGTAACACCTAGCTTCATGTCCATACCCCGGCACCTGTTCCACCATTCCATACCGCCATATTCACATAATTAGCACTTTAACACAGGACATTTGTCTGCTTTCCACATAAACTAAACATATTTATTTGTTATAGAGTGAATAATTTATTGTACAGTTAAGTAAATTGTATTCCTTACAGATGGACATGGCCTCGGGTAAAACCAAATATAGAGGAAACCACTAGTGATATGATAACACACTGGAGGATTGATACTTTTACTATTGGCCAGGGTTCCTTGAATGTGAAGGCCCAGTAGTAGCAGGCATAACACCCAGAGTGTAATAACTCTGTAATAACTCTGTAATAACTCTGTAATAACTCTGTAATAACAGTATAATAATGCAGGATAGGACTTTCCTTAATCATGTAGAGATGAATGTGATCCTTCATAATGCTCTGTTTTTTTCCTTTAACCGCTAACCTGTGTAGGGGACAGAAAACATGGACAGTAAACAGGAGTTCCAGTTCAAAACACAAGGTGGCATTAGAGTCCCTTAGAGTCACAAGGTTGTAATGTTTGCTGAAATAGTCAAATTCACTACTGCTTTACATTTACATTTGAGTTATTTAGCAGACGCTCTTATCCAGAGCGACTTACAGTTAGTGAGTGCATCCATTTAAAAAATATATACTTTACATGTAAAGTTTTCTCAGAGCCAGAGAGAGTGAAACATAACCTTTGTGGGCTGAAATGGCATGCATGGGTACATGCTTCTGTCACCAATTATTTATATAAACAATATGTGAATATAATATTTGTCTATGATTGCCACTCACACTGAGGAAGGCGTTAGACGTGGATGAGGAGGAGGAGGAGGAGGAGGAGGAGGAGGAGGACTGCACCAAGGCCCTCCATACAGCAGAGGCAGCACCTCCTTTACCCTGCACAGACAGCCACCACTTCAACTTCTGGGCTGAAGGAGAACAATCAAAGAGGAGGTACAGGTCAGGGTGCGGGTTCTTACATAAAGTGTTCTATAGCCTACTGTAAACACAAGTAAGGAATGGACAGCCTCACGTGAGAGAGGTAGAGGGAGACTGGCATAGTTGAGATGTGTTAACGAATAGTAGTGTACGATACACATGCACACACACACACAGACATACTATGCTTCCTGGAGTGGTCCACGGCCTTCAACGAGCCCAGCATTGCAAACGGGTCGTAGGACAAGGTGAAGGGATGAACGATAGCACTCTGTGGGAACAGACAAAGTCTTAAAGCCTTACTAGAAAAATCTATCTGATAGCTGATTCATATCTTATAATTCAGTGATTCATGCAGTATGTACATACAGAGTAGCACTGCATGACACCACTGCAGCACAGATCATTATAGACCAGATAACACTGCACTGAGGCTGATGGCCTACTAACTACATGTACAGTCAACACATCATGAATTATATATTACACCCCTTATACTCCGTTCCCACAGGGATATGTCTAGGCTGTAGGATTAGGCTACATGTCTAGGCTGTAGGATAGGCTACATGTCTAGGCTGTAGGAGTAGGCCATACTAGGAGTAGGCCATACTAGGAGTAGGCCATACTAGGAGTAGGCCATACTAGGAGTAGACCATACTAGGAGTAGACCATACTAGGAGTAGGCTATTCTAGTAGTAGACCATACTAGGAGTAGGTTATACTAGGAGTAGACCATACTAGGAGTAGGCCATTCTAGGAGTAGGCCATTCTAGGAGTAGGCCATACTAGGAGTAGGCCATACTAGGAGTAGGCCATACTAGGAGTAGGTTATACTAGGAGTAGGTTATACTAGGAGTAGGTTATACTAGGAGTAGGTTATACTAGGAGTAGACCATACTAGGAGTAGGTTATACTAGGAGTAGACCATACTAGGAGTAGACCATACTAGGAGTAGGCCATACTAGGAGTAGACCATACTAGGATTAGGTTATACTAGGAGTAGGCCATACTAGGAGTAGGCCATACTAGGAGTAGGCCATACTAGGAGTAGGCTATTCTAGGAGTAGACCATACTAGGAGTAGGTTATACTAGGAGTAGGTTATACTAGGAGTACACCATACTAGGAGTAGGCCATACTAGGAGTAGGCCATACTAGGAGTAGGTTATACTAGGAGAATGCTATTCTAACACTAGGGAGTGGAGAGAGAAATGTGCAGCATTCTTAACTCAGTCTACCTTGGAATGCAGGTGGAGGTAAGCGGCAGATGGTTTGGTGCTGTAGAGGGCTAGAATCTCTTCTACAGGCAAGCTATTCTGGAGCAGAGAGGACAGCAGAGCAGAGGTTAGAGCAGAGGGGGAATATAGTTAGTAACAGTTAAATCACAGTAGTCATAAAGGGCCAGTTACATGGTCAACCCAGGGGAAAGGTCATGGACTAGGTAATGCTGCCCAGTTTGAAATATACAGTACATACTGTTGCACCTGACTTAAGTCCAAGTTTAGCCACAGAGGAGCAAGGGTATGGAGACTGGTGATTCATTGTGTAGTTACGAGGAAGGAGGTTAACCTAAATCTCATAGGGGCGGCAGGTAGCTTAGTGGGTAAGAGCGTTGTGCCAGTAACCGAAAGGTCGCTGGTTCTAATCCCCGAGCCGACTAGGTGAAAAATCTGTCGATGTGCCCTTAAGCAAGGCACTTAACCCTAATTGCTCCTGTAAGTCGCTCTGGATAAGAGCGTCTGCTAAATGACTAAAATGTAAATGTAAAAATATATTAAATACAATAGACAACCATCAGATTCAGTTCCAACAGCCCCAGAACCACTTTAAGGGTCATTGACACGATGGACTGAGCCGTGGTAGTAGACTCCCCAACTCTGCCAAACGCCTCTTTGGAGACTGGTAAATTCGTACTTTAAGTAACAAGGGAGAGGTCTAAGGGTCGTTGACACTACAGACTAAGCCGTGCTAGACTCCCAACCCCTGGCATACTGTATTCCTCAGTTCCCAGGCTACTCACCAAGATCATCCCAGCGAAGGAAGAGAGGATTATGGCTTCTCTTTCCAGGAGGTTGGGGTACTGGTCATTATACCCTGGGCTGCCCACTCCACTACAGGAACAACAAAGTCAATCATGTTTTTATTTATAAAACCCTTTTTATATCATCAGTTGTCATAAAATGATTTACAGTAACCTGGCAAGCTAGGCCAAGATATTAGGTAAGGAAGTTAGCAGAACTCTTCAGGTCTCAGACAAGGTTACTCAACCCGGGTGTGGTTCACAGAACCAGCTCCATTTACACAAGGTCTCAGACAAGGTTACTCAAGACAAGATGCAAGACATGACAGTTATAACATAATTAAGTGTTATTGTGTTTAGAAGTCATTGTTTCATCAATGTACTTACACGATGTCTCTGTCCATCACATCATGCCCCTCCTTTTTCTCCAGCCACCAAAGAGCAACACTTATGGCCAAGTCATATTGAGCCTGGAAGCACACAGACACAAAGTACAGGGTTCCTAACAATGTTGAAATAATCATAGAAACACTACCAGCGGACAGTTTAACTGTATACAACATCCCAAATTAAAGATGCACTCAGGGTTCGTTCAGACAGTGGCAAGTCAAATTCAAAGACTTTCAAGTACTTTTTCAAGCACTAATATTTATTTTCAAGGACCATCGTTTTGTAACAGTTCATATTATGCAATTGTTTGTAGTCGCCACCAGATGGCAGTATATCGCCACAACCTCATGGAAGAAAAAAAACTAACTAGCTGACAAGTTCTCCTCAATAATACGCTGTTACATACATGAGTGGTAAATCAGTACTGATTATGTTGTAATTTGAGTAGTGATGAGCAGAGTTTTGGGACATGCCTACTGGTGAACACACATTTCCTATTCGCATTACTACACAATTCCAGCTTAATTACTGTTTTTATTGGACATTTGAGGAATCTACTACTTAATAACTACAAAAAAACGTCTCGCTTCCGACTGGCAGCTTTAGTGTCGCCGGTCGGTGGAAGGGTGGGTGGGATGATTGAGGAAAACCGCACGTGCACGGCCTCCAGAACCGCAAGAGCACGGCTGCCTCTTGATAAAGCGGAATATCGCGGCCACCCCATGAACAGGGGGATTTCAGGAGGTTGTTGCAGAGAAAAAGTCAGAATGTAGAACTGGCACCAGCACAGGACGCAGTGTTGTGTATTTCCCCCTTCATGCGGCTCTTCATGGCCGATTCACCCATGCTCGCAATGTCAAAGTCGGACACATTTTTTGCACCTTACACAGTGTGGTTTGGTTGGGTCCAGTGATGTAGTGGTGAAAAGGTGGGTAAACTATACTGAACAAAAATATAAAACGCAACATGTAAAGTGTTGGTCCCATGTTTCAAGATCCAAGAAATGTTCCAAAAGCACAAAAGGCAGGATGGAATATACATTTGCCCGGCATTTTAGCTATCGATGTGATGTTTGGCGACGCCTAATCAGTCAGTTCTGTACCTGCCTGGCAGTGTGGGTGGAATAAGCGAGCTAGCCTGGAAACCACAGCGCGAAACACAAGAAGAAATTAAACTCGTTTTTCTGCTTGGAAATTAATCTGCAAGACCAATACATTTTTCTAACATTTTTCATAAACATATTTGATCATTATCTGTTCTCATCTCATTTTAATTAAAGTACTTTTCAAGTAACAACTTGAGAAAATGTCAGATTTTCAAGGTATTCCAGTACTTGAATATTAGAGTGCCAAATTCAATTACTTTAAGCACCTTATGCGAACCCTGTGCAGCACCCCAGGAGCTTAAGTACAACAAATTAGTAACATATCATATGAATTGCAAAACAATTAATGGGGACCACTTTTGCCTCATAAGGACCACTTTCAAATTACTGGCTGAATTATACAAATGTTGGAGAGGGCATCTTTAACCACTGGTGTGGGATGGTACACTCCAGAACAATGTGTTGAGACTCCTACCAGGTCATCCAGCATGGTAGTGAATCCCTTCCCCTTGGGGTCAAAGCCATTCTCTCTCAGTTTCTGACCAATTAAATCTCCCCTGTTCAAAACATAAAACGCTCTTAGGCTCCTAAGGAAATCAACAACAAAAAAATGCCATTTAATCTGGAATTCCTCTTCCCACACTATGTCATTGCTCTAAATATATAATTGCATCATCCACAGAAAGCAACTCACAGAAGGGCCTTCATGTCTCTTCTCAGTCGCCTTGTCTCCATTTCTCTGAGGTAGCACTAATCATGCACATGCAGAGGGATAAGTCCTTGGTGGTCTAGTAGCCTCCAAAAAACTAGGTTTGGAAATATAATGTAGAAGTGCTCAATAGAAAAGGGTAGCCTGGTCCCAGATCTGTTTGTGCCATCTTGTGTTACAATGACCATAGGAGTTGGCATGACAACACAAACAGATCTTTGGGACCAGGGTAGGAAAAAGGAGGAAGTTGCATTCTAGATAAAGGATGGGTTTGGAGAGAAATTAACAGGTAATGATATAGCATGATAGTGCAGGTCTATTTGCTTAATGACCTCAACTGGGGTTAATTTACTACAGTAAAACATTATGCATGCTGCAGGGCAGGCTTGAACCCGACACCTCCCTGGCCCCACACAGAGGTCAAGAAATGTGATAAACCAGCAGAACACACATTTGGTCATCCAAGCTTTTTATTAAAGCAGCCTAATCACAAAAGGTGTTTGTTAAATGGTGAAATGCTAAAGCAAGGCAAAGGCAATGTGATTATACTGTAAGTAGGACTAGACTTATTTTTCCAATGCTTTGGCCTCGCAAGCTTTTTCCACGACTCATCTCCAAAATGAGATGTTGACCTAAGTAAGTCACCGTTGATTTACATAATATTTTATGTAGCCTGTGCCTGGTAAAATAGGATCTTACTAAAATCTGAATGATATGATCAAATTGGCGTTCTAAGCAATGCATTCAATCCATATTTTTTATAAAGAAAGACATTCATTGTAAAGCAATCTGTACTCACCACACACACACACACACACACACAATTCAGGATTCTCAGCAATGGCTACACCCAAGTATTGCAGTACTAGTCCAAATAGCAGTGTAGCACAAAATCACAAACAACCTTCCATTCAAGTGAACCCTAAAAACACACCTATCTGTAGGAAGGCTGTGTACAGTAGAGGCAGAGGAGAGCAGACAGAAACCCACGGTCCTCTCAGGTGAACAGTTTACTATGAATAATTCAAACAGGGCCTCCAGTCACTAACTCCAACAACATGGGTCCAGATTATCTTAGAAAGAAAAGGAGAGGTCCATTGGTCGGCACTATCAGACTAGGCAAGGTACGCTTAGCTTGTCCAGAGCAGTTCTCACGAGTTGATGGGTGGCTCCTTGTAGCTAACAACAGCTCCCCGTCGACTGGTCCGATCAGTCTCTTCATTATTAGTATGGTTGGTGTTTGTTATCCTTCAGCCATGACCTCAGCCCACTCTTCTTCATGTACAGCCACCTTGTGAGCAGAAGAAGCAACCCTTTTAGGGCTGGAGGCTGGAGTGTCAAATACAGTCTCATTGGTGCAGCTAACATCAAAGGATTCCCATGGAGGCCACTTGTCCATGAGCAGCTCCCTCAGGCTCTCACATACTGTGACCATCAGGCATCTCTGTGTGGGTCATAATCATCCTGGGACATGGAATCAGGTACAACTTAGGCCTTGCCGTTTCTGCTGGATTCATTAAAACTAGTAGGTATGACAAAAGTGTCTCTGCTTATGGTTTTATGGCCCTGGTTGGACCGGGGCTTAAAGCTGCTTGCTTTAAAGTGTGGACTGAGGGCCTCAAATTAAGACAAACGTTCATTAGCTCCACTGCTGTCCTCAGTGGTAGAGTGTGTGACGACTTGCAACACGTTGGGCTCCGCCACCAGCTGCGCTTATGCATTTTGTGCTGCTATAGCTCCATATGTAATACCCTGGCTATCCAAAGCTTCACTGGACAAAGAATAACCTCCACCCTGAGACAGCGACCCCTTAGTGGTGCTGCTCTTTCTTTTTCCTCTGCTTCTTTGCATTCTTCTTCTTTGATTTGGCACTCTGCTCTCTCCTGGTTTTCTTGGGCTTTCGCTCCGCAGCAACTGTAGTGGGGTCACCTGGGTCCAATGGGGTCATTTACTTCTCAACACACAAGCCTTTTAGGTCCTTGGAATTCCCTGCAGGTTTCCTGGGTAGCCAACCATGCACGTTTAGAGGCGGCCTGAGTTTCTTCAACTAGGGAGTCTGTAGTCTTGCGCACAGCAGCTAGACAGTGATCTGGGTCTGTGAGATGCTCCACTATGCATACATCCCTGACCGTTTGTTTGTTCTTCAGCGACAAAGTCATACCCTGTGCTAGGAGTGCACTCCTGCTTTTCTGCCCAAGCATCATCTAATATTGTACGGTTGGCGGAGGAGCTGTCCCTGTTCACGAGACCACAAACATCTCCACTGTAAGGTTGTCTGTGTGCCCTGTGCTAGGAGTGCACTCCTGCTTTTCTGCCCAAGCATCATCTAATATTGTACGGTTGGCGGAGGAGCTGTCCCTGTTCAGGCAGGGTGGCACCCATGTCTACATAGTCTGTGCACCCTTTAGTAGAATGAGACTCCTCTTCCATGAGAGGTCGAGACAGAATGAATGCATCATCTTCTGCCTCAATGTCCAATTCATGGTCCACCATGACAGGCTGTGCTTTAGTCTTCCTGCTTTCTCTGAATGTTTTCTTGCCCTTTCTAGATGTGGGCTCATTTGAAATCACAAAATGTGAAATCACAAAGTATTTTAACCTTTAGTTTTAGTGCCCTTGTCCTCTGTGGCCTCTACAACCAATGGGTTTGCCCTGTCTAGTTTAAATAAAGAGTTCTGAGTTTCAGGGTAATCAGAAAAAGTCATCTTCAAATGGGTCAGGTGAGACACTACGATGGGATTTGGATTGGAGAGGGACTACAAAAGTTGTTCTTGGGTCAAAAGGTTTTGTAACGTTTTGTGTTGTTTTATGGGATTCTCTGGTAGGTTTTCTGTGTTTGTTGATGCGTGAGGAGACATGAGTCCTTCTGAAGGCAGCCAGGGGTTATGTTTCTCTGGGTGTGTTCTCTATGACACCCTCTTCTCTGTGTTCTACATCCTCCACTGTAAGGTTGTCTGTGTGCAGTGGCGTTGCGGAAGACGTCTTTTGCATCTTCACCTCTGGATTCTCACCAACATGGCCACCGTTGTTATTTACAACCTTCACTAATAGACAAGGGATTTATGTCTTCAGCTCTTTCGGCCTATCAGTTTTCTTGGGCTTTGTCTCCACTGTGACGATTTCAGCAGCGTTGTCCCCAATAGCTATCTCCATCTCTGTGTCATTGTTGATGGTGGACTTCTCAGCTTCTCCGATGGTGGTCTTCTTTGCAAGCTCCAATGTGGTCTCCATCTTTAAGCTGTTTGGATGATCCAAAACTTTATCAGCACCAGAGGGCTGTAGATTATTAGTTGTGGCAGACAATGGATGGCAAGACTGCTGGGATAGGGTCAAGTCCAGTGTCTAAATAAATCCTTGACCACTCATCCTTTAGGCTACTGGACTGTTGGGATGTTCTCTTTTGGGATGATTTCAAAGTCTTATCCACCGGCTGCTCAATCTCATTCATGTAGGATAATAACAAATGTGAATTCCTAAAAACCGTCAATAATCAACCTAACGCTGAAAGGTCATGCTCACATTGATATGCATGCCAAAATGTGGGGTAGTTCTCAATTCTCCATGCTCCTACCACCTTACAGATGTAGGATCTTAATTTGACCACCCTGTTGTATGAGAACTTTCCTGCAATTCAGGAAATTAAAAACTTGTGTATTTGAGGTTTAAAAAGGCTTCTGAAGTTTGCAATTTCAAATTTAGAAAATCCCTGGACTGCTCTGCTATGATGAGAGGTACCTGAACCTCTACCCTAGAATGAAAATATAAATGGGAGGAAATGTGTGAACAGAAATAATTGACCATAAGACAGTAACTGTATTGCTGTAACTGTTAAGGGTGTCCTTGGTCAGAAAGAAAAACGATTTAGCATTGTAGGCTGTGACATAGGCTGCGTATACTTATCTGATATCATGGAATCAGAGGACATACTGAAAGAAGTCTTACATTTTCATCAGAGCAGAGGTCCACAGCCCTGTCATCAGACCTGAAGTCCACAGCCCTGTCATCAGACCTGAAGTCCACAGCCCTTTCATCAGAGCAGAGGTCCACAGCCCTTTCATCAGAGCAGAGGTCCATAGCCCTTTTATCAGAGCAGAGGTCCACAGCCCTTTTATCAGAGCAGATGTCTACAGCCCTTTTATCAGAGCAGAGGTCCACAGCCCTTTCATCAGAGCTGAAGTCCACAGCCCTTTCATCAGAGCTGAAGTCCACAGCCCTTTCATCAGACCTGAAGTCCACAGCCCTTTCATCAGAGCTGAAATCCACAGCCCTTTCATCAGAGCTGAAGTCCACATCCCTTTCATCAGAGCAGAGGTCCACAGCCCTTTTCAAATGATCCAAAGTGTTGCAATGAAGGCCTTTCAAGATGAGAATCTGTAAAAGGCTATATGAAGTTCACTTGTCAACAACTACCATGATTTTATGTCGAAAACTAACACTGAAGTCTGTGACAAAATAGATTGATACTGTTACAAAGAGCACCTCTAAATAAGTGACCCGGTAAGGAGTCAAATGTAGATCAAACTATGTCTTATTCAAAGTAATGGTTTCAGAGTCCCTCTCTAACCCACCAGTTGGTTGTGCTTGAATCTGCGAATAGCCAGGTCAAAATTCAGAGACTCCACTTGTTTCCATAGGCGCACAGTTTCCACTTCAAGCCGTCTGATTCTCTCCCTCTGAGCCATCAATGCCAAAGCCCTGTTGTTAGTCCTCAGAGAGACCTTGAAGAACGAGTGCATGTCTAGAAATTACATCAGGCAAAACATCTAAATAAACATATGATAATGCAGTATGACTTACGAAGAGACATGACATTAATAGGCTGCTAATACAAATTAAAGGACATCCACCTCAACATCTTAATTTAGTGATGGCAGCTGCAGGCTACTAACTGAGAATCTTGGTCTTTATCTTCAATGCTACTGTTAGTGAGTTCTGTTTAGCAGCCTTCCAGGGCATAGGTATCTTCCCTGTTAACATACAGTAGTTGAGAGGAGGGTCCTGCCCTCAGTAGATGTGTTCATACTGATCTGAGAAGCATAAAAAGGATTGATCACATTGATTGTTGACTAATGGCTATCAATCTAGCCCTTGATCATGACTCTCAGTTCCATTAGATTACACATAAGAGACAATTTATGCTTGATCTGAAAATGTGGTTGGAGGCGCCTTATGGATGGTGTGACGCAATTGTGAAGCCTCCGGAGGCACGCAGAGGCCAAATTGAGCTCTGTATCGCATCGCCGTGCGCCTGTCAGATTTTGTAACAATGTGGAGGGCTCCATATAGCTCCGCATTGACATAATTGGTTGACGGTAGGTGATGGCGGGAGGTCCTGTACAGTGCATTTGGAAAGTATACATGCCCCTTGACTTTTTCCACATTTTGTTACGTTACAGACTTATTCTAAAATTGATTAAATTGTTTTTTTCCTCATCAATCTACACACAAAACCCCATAATGACAGAGCAAAAACAGGTTTTTAGAAATATCACATTTACATAAGTATTCAGACCCTTTACTCAGTACTTTGTTGAAGAACTTTTGGCAGGTATTACAGCCTCAAGTCTTCTTGGGTATGACGCTACAAGCTTGGCACACTTGTATTTAGGTGGTTTCTCCCATTCTTTGCAGATCCTCTCAAGCTCTGTCAGGTTGGATGGGGAGCGTCGCTGCACAGCTATTTTCAGGTCTCTCCAGAGATGTTCGATCAGGTTCAAGTCTGGGCTCTGGCTGGGCCAGTCAAGGACATTCAGAGACTTGTCCCGAAGCCATTCCTGCATTGTCTTGGCTGTGTGCTTAGGCTCGTTGTTCTGTTGGAAGGTGAACCTTCGCCCCAGTCTGAGGTCCTGAGCGCTCTGGAGCAGGTTTTATCAAGGATCTCTCTGTACTTTGTTCCGTTTATCTTTCCCCCGATCCTGACTGGTCTCCCAGTCCCTGCCGCTGAAAAACATCCCCATAGCATGAATCTGCCACCACCATGCTTCACCGTAGGAATGGTGCCAGGTTTCCTCCAGACGTGACGCTTGGCATTCAGGCCAAAGAATTCAATGTTGGTTTCATCAGACCAGATAATCTTGTTTCTCATGGTCTGAGAGTCCTTTAGGTCCCTTTTGGCAAACTCCAATTGGGATATTATATACATTTTACTGAGGAGTGGCTTCCGTCTGGCCCTCTACCATAAAGGCCTGATTGGTGGAGTGCTGCAGAGATGGTTGTCCTTCTGGAAGGTTCTCCCATCTCCACAGAGGAACTCTGGAGCTCTGTCAGAGTGAACATCGGGTTCTTGGTCACCTCCCTGACCAAGGCCCTTATCCCCCGATTGCTCAGTTTGGCCCGGCGGCCAGCTCTAGGAAGAGTCTTGGTAGTTCCAAACTTCTTCCATTTAAGAATGATGGAGGCCACTGTGTTCTTGGGGACCTTCAATGCTGCAGACATTTTTTTGTACCCTTCCCCGGATCTGTGCCTCGACACAATCCTGTCTCGGAGCTCTACTGACAATTCCTTCGACCACATGGCTTGGTTTTTGCTCTGACATGCACTGTCAACTGTGGGACCTTTTATAGACAAATGTGTGCCTTTCCAAATCATGTCCAGTCAATTGAATTTACCACAGGTGGACTCCAATCAAGTTGTAGAAACATCTCAAGGATGATCAATGGAAACAGGATGCACCTGAGCTCAATTTTGAGTCTCATAGAAAAGGGTCTGAATACTTATGTAAATAAAGTATTTCTGTTTTTAATCTTTAATAAATTTGCTAAAATGTCTATTAACCTGTTTTCACTTTGTCATTATGGGGTATTGTGTGTAGATTGATGAGGACATTGTTTTATTTAATCAATTTTAGAATAAGGCTGTAACGTAACAAAATGTGGGAAAAGGCTCTGAATACTTTCTGAATGCACTGTATAAACACAAACTCACTTCCTTGACAACAGCTCTGCGTTGCTTGGTGAAGCGCAAGAAGTATGAATGCTCTGACTTCTGCAGAGGCCATATCACCATAAATGCTGCATGGCCAATGCAGATGTTCCAAGTTTGGGAAACCCTGTTCTAGACCATAGGCTCAGTGGCCTGCATTTACATCACCTAATATACACTGTTATCCAGAGCAACTTACAGGCGCAATTAGGGTTAAGTGCCTTGCTCAAGGTTAAATCAACAGATTGTTCAACTAGTTGGCTCAGGGATTCAAACCAGCAACCTTTCAGTTACTGGCCCAACACTCTTTACCACTAGGCTACCTGCCGCCCTGCTGGCGTACAGTGTGTTCATTGTGCAGTTTCTGCATTCCCTTTTATACAATATAAAACACATCATACTGTTACTTGTGTACAATGAAAGACTGTATAATTAATAAAATAATCATTCTTTCCACTATGTTTAAAATTATTCAAAAAAGGTTTGGTCTTCATGCATCTTTATACAGTATATATACATATATATACATATACATACATACATATATACATATATATATACACACATACATATATACATATATATACACACATATACAGTTGAAGTCGGAGGTTTACATACACTTAGGTTGGAGTCATTAAAACTCGTTTTTCAACCACTCCACAAATTTCTTGTTAACAAATTATAGTTTTGGCAAGTCGGTTAGGACATCTACTTTGTGCATGACACAAGTAATTTTTCCAACAATTGTTTACAGACAGATTATTTCACTTATAATTCACTGTATCACAATTCCAGTGGGTCAGAAGTTTACATACACCAAGTTGACTGTGCCTTTAAACAGCTTGGAAAATTCCAGAAAATGATGTCATGGCTTTAGAAGCTTCTGATAGGCTAATTGACATCATTTGAGTCAATTGGAGGTGTACCTGTGGATGTATTTCAAGGCCTACCTTCAAACCCAGTGCCTTTTTGCTTGACATCATGGGAAAACCAAAAGAAATCAGCCAAGACCTCAGAAAAATTGTTGTTGACCTCCACAAGTCTGGTTCATCCTTGGGAGCAATTTC